GGGAATGACTGCTAATGGGTATGGAGTTTCTTTGGAGGTGACAAAAATGTTCTAGAATTAGATAGTGGTAATCACATGCACAACTTTGTAGGTTTATTAAAAATCACTGAATTATATATTTAAAAAGTGAATTGTATGGTATAAGAATTCTATGTCAATAATGCTATTATTTTATTAAAAGAAATTCTAGAATTAAAAAATTGAATTATTGAAATTTAAAAAATCAATCAGTAGATTTCATAGCATATGAACCCAGCTGAGAAAAGGATTCATAAACTTAAAAATAGGCCAATAGAAAATATCCAAATGGAAGAACTGAGAGTAAAAAGAAAGGAAAGATTTTTTAAAGAATATAAAAGATACAGAGTATATGGTGAAAATTTTTAATGTACATGTAACTGGAGTCTTAGAAAGATAGAAGAGAGAATGGAGTAGGAGCGATATTTGATAAGATAAAGATCAGGAAGTTGAAAGACCTCAACCCAAAGATAAAAGAAATTTAATGAACTTCAAGCAGAGAATACTACACACATGCATATCATACTGAAATGCTGAAAATCAAACATAAGAACAAAATATTAAAATAGTACATTTTCAAAGGAATAACTGTAGGACTTCTGACTTCTCAACAGAAGTGATGGAGTTCAGAATTCAATTAAATGGCATCTTTAAATGGCTGATAAGAAAATAATTGTCAGTCTAGAATTCTTTCCCCAGCAAAACTGTCCTTCAAATGTAAAGGAGAAATAAAGACATTCTCAGACAAAGACTGAGAGAATTCATCATTAGCTGACTTGAACCAAAAACAAAATAAAATAAAAACAAAAATTAGATGAAGAAAGTAATTCCAGCAAAAGAAAAATACTTTCTGCAAAAAAAGGGAAATATATTCGCAAAGACTGGCCTTGGTGCTTTACGCCTGCAATCTCAACACTTTAGGAGGTGAAGGCAGGAGGATCACTTAAGACTAGGAGTTTGAGGTTAGAGTGAGCTAGGGTTATACCACTGAACTCCAGCCTGGGCAATAGAGTGTGACTCTGTCTTTACACAAAGAAAAAAAAAGCAATAAATAAATATGTGAACAAATATGGAAGAAAAACCCCGTAATATCTTTTAGGATTTAAAAATATATATATAGAAATACATTGTAAGACAAACCCTAGGATAATCATTAAAAGAATAAGACCAGTGAGGAAATATAAAAAATAAGGATACACAAAAAACAACTAGATTTTAGACTCCACTTTCTTAGAAATGTAGCTGACAATATATTACATGCCAGCCAAGTATACTCACTCATGGTCCTCCAAAGCTGTCACACTGCTTAATAGCTCAATACGTCACACCTGCCAGTCCTTCATTCTGAAATTCTTCCTCACTTCCTACTATTCTTGATAAACTCATACTCTTCCTTTAAGACACTTCCAAGGAGAGCTCTCTGTTTCTTTCTATGTGGTTTCATCTCTTTAAAACTTTACCCTTATTACATTACTTGCTGTAATTCTGGGGGCAATCATTTGATGCATAATACATAATCGGTACCAAGGAACTCCTAGGAACCCTGGAGTATATAACATTTATGATTGCTCCCACTAAGATATTTGATTCTCATTTATTTGTTTGTTTTTGGCTGGGGCTGGGTTTTGAGCCCGCCACCTCTGGTATATGGGGCCAGTGCCTTGAATATCACTAACATGTAGCTTCTGACCTTGGCAGCCTTAACACATAAATGATGTTTGGAAGGAGCCTTCATTTGCTTATGCATTAATATTTGAATGGGTAACTGCTATGATTTGAATGTGTTGCCCAAAGTTCATGTGTTGGAAACTTGATCCCCAATGTAGCAGTGTTGGGAGGTGAAGCCTAAGGGGAGGTATTTGGGTTATGAAGGTACTGTCCTCATGAATGGATTAATGCTGTTATCATGGGAGTGGGTTCCTTATTAGAGGATGGATTTGGCCCCCTCTTGCTCTTTCTCTCACTCTTTCTTTGTCCTGCCACCAGGGGATAATGCAGCAAGAAGACCCTCGTTAGAGGCCACTGCCTCAATCCTGGTCTTTCTAGCCTCCAGAGTTGTGAAGTGGTAAATTTCTGACCTTTACAAATTACTCAGTCTCAGGTATTGTGTTATAGCAGCACAAAACAGACTGAGCTAGTAACCTTGTCACAGTATGATCGGAGTCAATACATCAGCCACATACAGCTGGCTGCTTTAGAGACCAGGACAAGAGGAAGCCATGCTTTGGGGTGTTTAGTATATACAGTAGGTTTTCGGGATGGAGCCCTGGAGTTACACTTCAACTCTGTTATAAAGACACTAAGAACAGTTGAGAAAAAAAGGTAGATGCTTTCTGTTAAATGCATTTCTAGGAATGTCCAAAAATACCATTCATTGATTTGAACATAGCCTTTTCAAGAGAAGATAACTCCCCTTTGGTGGTTAGGGGTGAGAAATCTAGGTCACACGTGGTCCTTTAGTGTCATAGGACTGGGAAACTCTGGTAAGGCAGTGTGGAAGAATATGGCCAGTAGAACCAGACAAACCTGAGATTCAGGGCCCCCCCCCATCAGTTACTACTGTGTGGCCCTGAACTTCCCTGAGCTTCAGTTTCCTCCTCTGAAAAATGGTAACTTCCTATGATCTTGTAGGTTGTAGTAAGGACATAAAGGAGCACAGTGTTGCACACGGTGAGCGTTCAGTGCAGAAGTCCTCCCTTATCTGCAGTTGTGTTTCCATGGTTTCAGTTACCTGCAGTCAACTGCAGTCCAAAAATATGAAATGGAAAATTCAGAAACAATTTATCCATTTTAAAGTGCAAGCTAGTCTGAGTAGCATGGCTGAATCTCACACGATCCTGCTGTCCTGAGCAGGACAGGAATCATCCCTTTGTCCAGCATATGTAGGCTATGTTCTCTGTTCGTGAGGCACTTGGTGGCTGCTTTCAGGCATCTTCTATGGGTCTTAGAATGTACAGGGGATACGTTCTAAGACCCAGTTTATTGTAAATGATCTCAAGCTATTATATATCCTTAGTGAAACTGTTACTAAAGCAATTTTAAGAACAAAAACAAAACACCATCAATCCAATCCTGTACCTGTAGGTACTGGTAGCAAAATCTGTTTTCTCATTTGCATTGTTGTGTATGGAAATAAAAAGATATAACCCATAAAAGATTTTATTTAGTTAGAAAAGTGGAACATGTCATGAGAAATTTCTGGAAATTTGCATTGAGGCAGGTGAAATAAAGAATGAAGAAGGATATTAGAAATAATTCACTTTAAAACTCAGAATTTTCTCTGTTGTGTGCCGGAGAATTTCATTTAATGTGTCAAGTATTCACTCAAAGTAAATATTGAACGCACTAAGAAGTTTCTGCATTCAGTTTTTGCTATGAAATTTGATCCTAGTCAGCTGAAACATTCTTCTAAGTTTTCAAGAAGACAAAGTAAACACAACCACATCACTTTCTTTAAACGAAGTCACACCAAATTAGTCAGTCTATCCCTATAAGCCAGGAATAATGCAAATAAGTTAGTAGAATTATGAGCAATTTAATATCAACTACATGTGTTTTTGATAGATTCTCACAGATTTTGTGTATATGGGGATGATACGTATATCATCCCCAAATATGATGGTAAGGGAGGGAGAGAAGACTCAGTTGAATGAGAAAAGAAAATTTTGATTTGAGGCCAGGCGTGCTGGCTCACGCCTGTAATCCTAGCATGCCGGGAAGCCAAGGCAGATGGATTGCTTGAGCTCAAGGGGTCGACACAAGCCTGAGCAGGAGTGAGACCCTATCTCTACTAAAAATAGAAAAACTAGCCAGGTGTGGTGGTGCTACTTATAGTCCCAGCTACTCAAGAGGCTGAGGCTAGAGGATCACTTGAGCCCAAGAGTTTGAGGCTGTGCCACAGTGTACTATCCAGGCCAACAAAGTGAGACTCTGTCTCGAGAAAAAAAAAAAAAAAAGAAAATTTTGATTTGGACTGGATTTTTTTTAACATACTTGAATATGTGATTGCTCTAATACTTCAACAGGACTGGAAAGGTAGAGGATTTGCCAAGAGATGGGGAGAGAAGACCTTTTAGAGGATGTTTGAAGTGAGGTATGGAAAGAAAAAGAATAAAGCTGCTTGTGATTGCATCTTACTTAGATTCTACCGTGCAGGTCGTTCTGTGGTGTTATTCCACAGGCCTATCATGAGGTAGGCCTTAAGAAACAGCACAGTGCAATTTATCTTCATAGTAAATATAATGCTTTTTTCTAGAAGATCTTTAAGGATCTCTATGAGTCTAGTACTGGGGGTGGTTTTGCTTCTCGAGACCAAATGTACTTTTGTCCAATTGCTATGTCAAATGAACTATGAAATGGGGGTGTCAAGGAGAAAAGTCCACCTATGGGACATGTTGTATCACTGACATTGTCTACAGTTGCTAACACACAGTGATAACACAAAGCAGATGAACTTTTAGTCTGCTTTATTGCTGTTTACACATTTCCCGCAGAAAATGCACCCTCTTACTGCCTGCGCCTTCAGTGGGCTGCTCCTTCTGCTTTTAGCCTGAGGATGCTGTAAATCATGTTTCCCAGGTGAGTTTTCCATCATGTTTCAGCTACTAGAAGCCTTGGAGTCAAACTCGTAGGCCTCTTCCCCTGCCTGCCAGGACCTTTTATATGCTAGGCCTCAGCCCTGGCTCCAATTAGATCACTATTTTTTTTTTCCACTTTCATCCCTCTCTCTTTTATTTTGAAATCTACTTCTCATAAAATTATCTCTGTGTGCATATCTTGGTAAGCCTTTTTAGATCCTCTTTGCAGCCATATACAGAAGCGATGTAATCAACAGGAAGAAGGATTTTCAATGCACATAGGAATTATCTTTGTGTTGAATCACATGCACGACATAAATCTGCACATTTCAAAATGCAGCCGACGATCCTACAGTACTAGTTTAGAAGGTTTCTGAGGAAACAGCACCACGCAGCATAACTCACCTACCCCAGTAGTGTGATCTCCCTTTGGTCCTGTGTAGGAAGTGGGAGTTTCTCCCCGCCTCCTGTGCCAGCTGCTCCGGTTTCTCTTCTCCTGAGTAAAGGCACATTCATTTTGTTCGAAAGTACACTCTCCAGGTGTAGGTGGAAGCCTCTCTGCAAGGAAATAGCAGCTGTTGCAATTGCTGAGACACTTTCAAGGAATATGGGCTGCTGGCAACGGGCTCTGTGTGCGTGGTTTCTGGCCATATGCTTCGCAACAGAGAGGCAGCTGCCCCCACCCCCACCCCCATCCCCACCCCTGCCACCCACCTATGGGAAGTTCTTGCCTCCAGCTGGAGGCTGCCCTTCTCCATCCACCCTGTCACAGGGGCAGAGAGAACTATCAGGAATCGATCTAGACTGACAATACTGGGAGACACTTTGAGAAAGAAACTTTCTCTAAATTGCCAATTTATTTGTGTGACTTAGCTTATGAAGCTATGAAAAAGGCAGAGTGCCTCTATAAAAATTCGTAAAATAGTAAAATTATGCCACTTATAATGCATGAAATTTCTTCAGAAATCCCTGAGTGAAGAGTACCCTCATAACAACTGTCTAGCTGCTCTGGAGGAAGAGAGAATGGCAGAGAGCTGGGTGTAATTCTGGAGGCAGAGCTGTGTGGAGCAGGGACACAGGATTCATCTCTCTGTGCCTCAGTTTTCTTCTCTGTAACATGGGAATACTAATGGCACTTCCTTCATGGGCTTGTGAGGATAAAAGGAGATGGTATGAAAATTCCAAACATGAACGTGTCAATAATTATTAGTGAAATAAGCACTAAGACTAAATAATACTAAAACTTGGTTTTTTATGCCACCTAGAGCCTTATTTTTCTTTTCCATAATAAAATGTTTGTGTCTTTGAATGTTGTCTACAATAACTTTAATAAGTCTTATTAGAATAGTACTACTTCCTGACTGGGTATTTCTTTGTTTGACTGTGGTTGTACCCTACTCCATCTAGATTCTAGGCAAGTTTTTCTAATAAATAGCCTATCTTTTATGTCCCTTATGTCATAGTCATTTTATTTCACTTTATTATGTATTAGCTGATGAAGTCTCATTCTCTCTTTCTAAAATCTTTTATTGACTTGTGTGGCGTACACACATAGATTTGCTACATGGATATGTCACGTCATGGATATGGCAAAGTCTGGGTTTTCTGTCTAACCCTTCCCTCTTCTATGCCTTGACTGTAGAGATTTTTATCTGTGTTGTCCTTACAGTAGCTGGCAAATCAAAGGCCTAAAACCAATTTGTCTTTTAATTAAGTAAATATAGAGATTCTTCTCCAGTGCCAGATTGACACAAAAATTTTCCTGTTCATCAACAAAATGGATATCCCATGATTTAGGATGAAATGGTGATTAGCAGATGCAGACCAAATATCTGGGTTGAGGTCTGTACTGTTTTCTTATTAAACATAATATCCAACACATAGCTACCTACCAGGACTTGATTTTGTTACTATCATCAGTACTTGGTTTATTGTTCTACGGTCATTCAATTCACTTCAAAAATACTTGTTTTATTAAAATTTTAAAATTATATGCTTAGCAAGTATCTGTGAAATAAGAATTTCTTCAATACGGCTGAAAATCTTCATTCATGTAAAGATAACAACATTGATAAGAACAGGAACAATTATAGTAGAATGTATTTGTTCATAGAGAACAGTTTCGTGTCAGATCCTATGCCAGGGATTGTATGGGTATTATCCTCAATATTCAGGTAGATATTCCATAATCCCCCTTACAAATGAAAATAAGGGGGGAAGTCACATGAACAAAGATGGAACATTCAATGCACCATTTCTACGTTGCAAAGCTGACTGCACAGCTCTGCAGAAGACGCTTTTGTCAAGAAAAGCAAAGGACTAACTAGCACAGATTATACCCATGTGGTTCTTAGAGAAACAGGAGGCACATGTACCTGCCAGGGAGACGAAGAGCTGAAATGACTGCTGTCTTACCTGGAGACCAGCAGCTTCCCAACTGCACTGTAATGTCATCCAAGGCTACAAGCCCACAGTCCCAAAAACTTTTGCATAGACTCATGAACACCACCTGCAATGTATAAAAATAAAGCTGTAAATTCTGTTCACTGAAAATTGGAAACTCTCACAACCTGAGATTGACTTAGCACAGCAGGCATGCCTAAGCCAACCACAAATACTTCTTCATTGTCCCTAGGAATAATGGAACTCCGTGGCATGAAGAATGGTTATCATGTATATATGGTCCTGGAGATACTTATATTATTTTTGTGTGTGGCGTCATCCTTACAGTGATAAACTGTGCATAGTAATGGTGAAATCAGTGGCATTCTGCGAAGAATCCACAGGAAGAATGGGAAGAGCAAGAGGTTAACTGCGTGACAGAGAAAGGCCTATCAGGTTTTAAATATTTTCTCCAGATAATTCTCAAAGAACATAGAGTTGATGGATTTCCAAGCATTTTCCAAACATTTCCAGTACAAACACTATTGATTTCTTTGAAATGACTCTCTGGCAATGTTGCTTCATTCACAGGGTGAGCAAAGTCCCAGTGATTTGCCATCTGGAGACTGGTATTCCATTTCCAAAGACAAAGATTTATGTTCCCTGTTGGTAACGCTGATAAAAGCCCTAAACACAGTTATTTTATCAGGTCCAACATTTTTATTGTTTTGTATGTGAAGGAAAAACAAATCCATACCATAAATTATTAAATTTATTGTGCCAGAGAAAGAGAGAGAAGTCTTGGATTTCTTTCTATTAGGCCATTTTTTAAGGGTACTTTTCATACATACGATGAGCAAAGAGCACTTTATAAAGCTTTTATATTATATTGTCCTTGTACTTGCAGTTTACAAAGCTGCTTCCCATGTTTTGTGTAAGTAGCACAAGCCCACGCGGTCCACGTTCAATCCAAGAATTACAAATCTCAGTCCCCCAAAGACAATACCTGCTATAGCAGAAGCTAAGTCCAACTTAAAAACAATGAGAACATTTGATCTTTTTGGGGGGTTCGAATAGGCAGAATGTATGTCCGAAATTTATTTGTATTATTGTAGGGTCCCTTTGCTCTTTGACGATTAGCTTTCTTAGAATGTTGAATTTATTTAAAAAGAAATTTGAAAATCATGTGACAGCTTACGGGAATGTAAAATATAAAATGTCTTAAGCCAAAATCTTCATGATAATTACTAATTATAAGATGTGTGAAGGTTTATTTTCACTGTATTCATACGGCTTTCAAATATGAAAAGAAAAGCTTAGAGTTTTTAACAACGTAAAACTGGATTCACAAAGAACAAAACAAAATGGGGTGGGTTTTCTGGTTGTTGCTGTTTTGTCATTTTCCTCTGTTGATTATTTTTATTTTTGTAAATTCCACAGGTTACCTCACCGTAAAATCTGTTACTTGCAGGGTTTAAGCCTGGGAACTTATTTCCCATTTATAATGTAATGGTCTGTGTCATTAGCCCTGAATGCAATTTTTGTTATTATAAGGAAATTTTAATATGTCTCAATAATTGAATTAATTGTGCTGCAAAGAGAAAGGGCTTAGCTTTCTCTCCTTTTGGCAGCTTTAAAGACTATTCTTCACCAGGAAACTGAAAAGTACTTTTTCAAAATATATAAATATCCCCCTTTTTAAAAGGGATATATTACCTTGCTTTCATGTGTTTATTTTATAGTGACCATTAAACCAAATCAGAAAGCAAGCATCCCAAATTTCAAAAACAGAAGAAATAGATAAAATTTACTATAACAATCTAAGAAACAAGCCATCATCAGATCTGATGACTTGTAAATATTATTCACTAGTACAGAAATAAAGTCCTCTCAGAATGTTCAGTAGAAAAATCTGGTTAGATAAAATGAAATAAAATAAAATTATACCTAACTCATCTGTAAGTATATAGAAAGAGTCTGGAAAATTTACCAAACTTATAACAATTATGTTAGACTCATGAAATTATGGATACAAAGAAAAAGAAATCAGGGGATCTATGATTCTGATGTGGAGTAATGACTTGGTCATTATCGTTTCCTAGATTGTTGATCTTTGTCATTGTCTATTATGAGAGCCAATATAAGAGATACTCTTTATGGCCATCCCAAACAATTTGTGAACAGCCACAGTGGGTTGAATGAAATGTTAAAGATGTTTTGGACACTATCAGGCCACTAGCTTTTTCTTGTGTTAGAGCTTTTTGACACTTAGGACACTAGCCAGACCACGTGTTATTCTGTCTGGTTAAAGATCCCCAAAGTCAGTCAGCTTCTGATTAGATTCAAACTGTGGCCTCACACCTCAAATTTGTTGAGCAGTTGTCTGTCCACATTCCAACACACAAAAGAAAGATCAGCTTGTTTGATTTAACACAGTGGATTTTTCCAGCTGCTATTAATAATGCTGATAATGTCAGCTATTTGGGGGCTCCAGTTTACATTTTGCAGGCCCTGTGAGGTGGAGAGGTTATTTTAGGACAGTTGGTGACTGGGCAAGCTGCTGAGTGGGCCCGGTTGAGACAGGACATAGGAAAAGCCAAACATCCTGGCCTGTTCTTAAAAACTCTCCTTCTGGGGCCAGGTAAGATTGTGACAAGAAGGAAAATAGCCAGGGTCTAAATTCTTTATTTATACATCTTTAAAAAATATATATTTCATCTTATTTCAAAATAAGTAGAAAATCTCTAAAGACTAGAAAAAAATCTTCGACGGTTTGAATGTATATTAATATCTATTTAAGAGGGGGGAAAGAGGAGGCCCCAGGTAAAATGATATTTCTTTTACAGTTGTTCATAATTTTTTTTTCATGGCTAGGAAGAATCAACTTTATTTCTTTTTTAATTTTATTAAATCATAACAGTGTACATTAATACTATCATGGGGTACAGTGTACTGTTTCTGTATACAATTTGAAATACTTTCATCCAACTGGTTAACATAGCCTTCATGTCTTTTTCTTAGGTATTGCGTTAAGACGTTTATATTCTACATTTAGAGAGATTCACATGTACCCTTATAAGATGAACCACAGGCGTGATCCCACCAATCACACTCCCTCCACCTACCTTCCCCTCTCCTCTCCCCTCCCTCTCCCCTCTCTCCATATTCCTGGGCTAAAATTGGGTTATAGCTTTCCTATGAAAGCTATAAATTAGTTTCATAGTAGGACTGAGTACATTGGACACTTTTTCGTCCATTCTTGGGATACTTTGCTAAGAAGAATCTGGAGAACACTTAGAGAACTAAAAATAGACCTGCCATTTGATCCTATAATTCCTCTATTAGGTATATATCCAGAAGACCAAAAAATCACACTACAATAAAGATATTTGTATCAGAATGTTCATTGCAGCCCAATTCATAATTGCTAGGTCATGGAAGAAGCCTAAGAGCCCATCGATCCACAAATGGATCAATAAACTGTGGTATATGTACACCATGGAATACTATGCAGCCCTAAAGAAAGATGGAGACTTTACCTCCTTCATGTTTACATGGATGGAGCTGGAAAGTATTCTTCTCAGCAAAGTTGTTCATGATTTTATGTAAATCACTTAAAAGTTAGTACATAAAACTTGTAAATCAATCTGTTTCAGCCTACTCAAAGTTCCAGTCCTAAGGTACCAGGACTACTTTAATGTTTGTTTTGATGGAGAATATTCATTGTTGAGGAAACCTACCTAGACTAAACTTTAGAACACAAATAAGCAGTGAATAGAGAGCGATATTAAACATATTTGCAAAGAAATAATGTTAAATATAGTCGAGTAAAGATCAACAATATTACTTAACTTATTCTTTATACTAAAAATAGATATTGTCATTTAAAAAAAATCCTCAACAGAGTATTTCATCCTCAGCACTACAGGTATTTTGGGCCAGACACTTTTCTGTTGTGGGAGACTTCTTGGTACATTGTGGGATGTTTAGCAGCAATACTTATCTCTACCCACTAGCTGCCAATGTTGCCCTCAAGTCCTGACAATCGAAAACGTCTTCAGACATTGCCAAATATCTTGTGGTGTAAAGAATCTCCCTGGCTGAGAATCACTAGTCAAGAATAGTAGAAAAGTGCTATGTGGATTATAGAAAATCCCACTTACTAAATTCCTATTATATGCAGTCTCTGATTCCCTGCTGATTTCAACCTACTTACTCTCCCCACTCAGAATAAGAGTATTTTCATAAATGGACTAGATCGAGTTAGCTTTCTCTTCTTCTGCACATCATCAGGTGTGATTCTAACTAGTAGTGGAGTATCTTCAAGTCCTGGGAACCAAAGCTAAAGAAACAGAAACACAAGGCAGACAGATGAATACTCAAACTGAATAACCACCCTCCAGACCATGGGGGCAGTCTGGCCCCTTTCCCTAATATAGCTTTGGACTGGATTTCTACACAGACCCTTGCCACAGTACCTCTCTTCCCCCAAATAAAAAACTTGGCCTGGAAAAGTCCAGCAAAGTTCCTAGATCAGGGATTTACGGTTCCAATTTTCTATTTCAGAAAACTGTAATTACGAGAGGGCGATAGAATCCCCTCTTTGTTTCCATCTTTTCCCCTTTCAAATAATGATTACTCTCTAGAAAAAACATAATGACACATAGCAGAACCTAGAAGGTAACTTAGCAGTAATATTCTATCTTGTAGTATATAATTTCAACTCTCTTCTAAAGTTTTTTATTTTGGGAAAGAGAGTTGCTGTGGAGAGGGTGGGTGGTAGAAATTCAGTCTAAGGTTATGTTAGTCAAAGGGGCTGTTTGGGTCCAGTGCCCCTGGCTGGGCCTGTAAAAGTCTAGCAAAGTTCCTGCTTTAGGTACCCAGGAAAGAAAAAAATATAGAAATAGATATGTCAAGATTCATTTTCTCAAACCAAATCAGGTTAGATTTTAAAAGAATCAGGGTTACAGATTTTCTCTCTAAGAAATGTTACAGTTTAAGAGCTACCAAATACAACAAATAGGATTTTCGCCAGGGAAAGAAACAAGCTTTGTAGAAAGCTATGGAAAACGATTAAATAAAACCTTTGGGCTCAGCGCCTGTAGCTCAAGAGGCTAAGGCGCCAGT